GAGGCCGAGGAGAGGCCTGGCCGGGGTCTGGGGGCAGGCTGCCGTGCTCAGGCGCAGCTAGTGAGGCATGCGGGCCACCTGCTAGACCTGCGCCAACAGCCCTGTGAGACAAGCCTTCTGAAGTCACTTTACAGGTGAGGAAGCTGAGCTGGAGCCCCACATCACAGAAGCAAGACCCGGGGCTGGTCAGGCTGCGAAGCCCAGGCCCCCTCTTCACCCCATCAGGGTGGTGAGGGGCTGCGGGCAGCTCAGTGGGCAGGGCCAGGTCCTCAGCTGGATGTCCTTAGAGCCTCTCCTCAGTGAGTCCAGAACAGGTCTGGGTGAGAGTGGGCTGTGCAGGAGGACCCCCCACCACCGAGGACTCAGGGCCCAGGAGCTTGCCACAGGGCACGGCCCGCTGTCCCCAGGGAGGGTGTGTCCCAGCCCAGTGCTGACGACAGTAGCATCTGGAGCAAAAATGGCTCCTGGGTCCTTCGGATCCCTGCATCCCTCTGGCCGCCCTCAGCCCAGGTTCCTGGGTCCAGAGGCGGTCCACCCAGAGCTATGGATACGCTGGTCAGTAGCCCACAGCCACCCGGAGGTAGGTGCTGTTGGCCTGTCTTACAGGTGGGGGGCCAGCTCAGAGAGCTTCAGTGACTCACCCAAAGCCACCCAGTTCAGAGCTACCGGGCCAGATAGGAACCTGGGTCGCCTGGGTCCAGGGCTGTTCCCACATCTCCTGCCCTTCCTGGCCTTCCCGGGGAATGCAGCCACCCCCTGAGCACTCGGGACCACCTGGGCCAACCCAGCACAGGTGGCACCTAACAAACCCTGCTAGCGGGTAGCCAGCATTCCCATGTCGCACCTGGAAGCTGAGCTCCAGGAGCACAGGCCGGGGGTCCTCCTTGCTTGCAGACCCCGCGGCCTCCAGCCGCTGCCCGGCATACTGTCAACACTGCGCAAGGGTCTGCTGGGTGAAGAACAAACACATGAATGAGCAGAAGAAAGAACTAGTGGTGAGACAGGGTCTAGACGTGAGCGGCGGCTGGAATGGGCAGCGTCGGGCCCGCCTAGGTTAGGGTAGGCTGTGGCTGGTCGCCCGGAGGCCGTCGGACATCAGGACGGGCGCATCCACAGATGAGCGGATGCAGCGGCTCCACCAATTCTGGTCATAAATCACAGGAGAAGCCACGGGAAATGAGTGCCAGGCTTTTCTTTCTGTTTAGTAATTTATCAAGGGAAGAGGCACATTAATAAACACATTTCCCTCGAGGGGGGGGAATAACGGAGATGAATATCACTGTCAGATTTGGCCTGTTTCCTCTTGTTAAGGGCGCAAGAGAGGGTGGAAATCCAAATATTAGCAAAACATTTTTGTAAAATTGTATCACAAAGATGTGTGTATTTCTGCTTTACATGATGTGCTGTCTCCCCACACACATCTCCCCCTTTGCCAGCAGCTCCTAACGCTTTTGTTCTTACTCTGAGTTCCCTTTAAAGTGAGGGCTGGCGCGGTGTGACTCGGTGAATAAGAACGAAGAGGCTAGCGGATGCCCGAACGGGCAGGTGAGCGAGTGTGTAGGGACCCTGTGCTGCGGGGTGGCCCCGTCATCCTTTCGAGATGCGCTGTCCTTTGCCCCAGGCATCACTCTGGGCTCACCCTGCCCACCAGTCCTCCTGGCCCCTGACGAAGCTGAATCAACTCACAGTCCCCCTGTGGACGCTCTGCTGGGTTTTAGGCACGACCCTTCCTACGCTCCATGTGTTCTCATGACAGCCCTGCAAGCCAGGCACACTGCCCCCATGTGCAGACCGGCAAAGCGAGGCTCGTGGAGGCTGAGTAGCATGCGCCAAGGCAGCCACAAAGCATCAGGTTTGTGTGGCCGGCTGGCACAGGCTATGGGCCCCCACATGGTGTGTGTGTCCACCCCACCCCGCCAGGAGCACCCTCCCAGGATACCTCACCTCCCCACCCTGAGCAGAAGCTGTGAGGTGGGTGGTTTTGGTGGCCATCTACTTGCCTTCCCCCTTCCCGTCTGTTTCTCTGCCAAGGCTGCCGGGGACAAATGTTTTGTCATTTGTACCATGAGGCTAATAACAGCCCCTTCCGTATAGGGTGCTTATGAAGGTGAAACTACTTAACACTTACAAGTGTGTGTGTGCTCCTATCCCTCGCAGGCATCCCCTGGGAGTCCTGGCGTGATGAAACTACTTAACACTTACAAGTGTGTGTAGGGTGTGCCCTATCCCTCGCAGGCATCCCCTGGGAGTCCTGGCGTGTATCTCCCGGGAGTCAGGCGAGACTGCTGTTCATACATAACTGCAGGGTGGGCGGAGGACCTGCCCCTGCTGGGGCTCCCTGCCCCGGGGCTCTCCGGCCCTGGCTCCAGACAGCTCCTCCTGCAGCCCCACCCCAGGCGGGACCCTGGGTCCCCTCTGGACAACACAGCGGCCTAGAAATGGTGTGACATCACTGGACACGTCTCCACACACCAGGGTTTCCACCCTGTCCAGACTCTCCGGAGCCCGGTGTCCTCCGTGAAAAGGGGTCCCCTAGTCCAGGGCTGTGGTGAGGGGATGAGGGAGGCGTGAGAAGTGCCCAGCACTCAGCAGGTGCATGTCAATTCTGTGGCCGCTGTGCCCTGCATTTTGGATACCTGTGTGGAACAGCCTCTCCCTGTGCCCTGCTGGCCCCTGCCCCCCGTCCTCCAGTCAGTGGCCCCGGGTTGGAGGGGTGGCCTGTAGACAACCCCACTGGCTGCTTGAACACACCCTGTGCTCCCCACGCCATGGCCTGGCCCCTCCGTGCTGTGCTCCCCATGGCCTGGCCCTGCCCCCCCATGCTGTGCTCCCCACAGCCTGGCCCTGCTCGTGGTGCCTGCTCAGACAGGCTCAGACCTCTCCCCCAGGGACATACCAGGCTACCCTGGCCACAGAGTCACGCGATGGAATTTTCTACAACAATGGAAAAGCCAGTGACTGCCACACACAGCAGTGCAGAGCAATCTCACAAACTAGCGCTGGATGAAGAAGCTGGATCAAATAGTATTTATAATTTCATTTACATGAATAGCAAATACTCAAAACTAGGAAGACTGAGCTGCCTTTTAGAGGTCAGGCCAGCTTGGGTGGGTCTGGACAGACAGAGGGGCTTCTGGGCACTGGCCAGGCCCTTTGTTTTATTTTTAATCCTCACCAGAGGACATGCTTAGAGAGAGAGGGAGAGAAACATTAATGTGAAAGAGAAACATCGATACGTTGCCTTCCATACATGCCCCAACTGGGGATTGAACCTGCAACCCAGGTATGTGCCCCAACTGAGAATCGAACCGGCAACCATTTGGTGCTGGCCCCATGGGTGGTTCACAGACCCTGTGCACTTGCCTGTCCTGCGTCAGGCACTGGTGGGTCTAGCTGGTCCCTGCATCCCGAACAGGAAGGGTGCTGACGGTATTCAGTGCTCGGATTCACTCAAGCATCTGACCTGTGCTTCTTAAATCCGCACCACACCTCGTGTGGATCAGTCCATTTTATAGATGAGCAAACTGAGGCTGAAAGTGGCTAAGCCCTGGCCCAAAAGGCCACCACTGGAGAACGGCAGAGCTGTCCTTCACCTGCAGTCCACCTGCCCCCTCACCCCCCCAAACACGTTTTGCTGATGTGCCTTGGGTTGGCTGTCCCACAGTGTCGCGTTTCTCCAGCCCACGGGTGACGCCCCGCCTGAGCCGAAAGCGGGCGCTGTCCATCTCCCCGCTGTCGGATGCCAGCCTGGACCTGCAGCGGATGATCCGGACCTCCCCCAACTCGCTGGTGGCCTACATCAACAACTCTCGCAGCAGCTCCGCCGCCAGCGGCTCCTACGGGCACCTGTCGGCGGGCACCCTCAGGTGAGCCCAGCCAGCAAGCGGAGGGCTGGGAGTTGGGAGCTGGACTGGGGACCAAGTAGGGAGGGTCAGCGCTTTCACCAGAGAAGAAAGACAGGACTTCATGCCCCAAACACAATTTCTGGCGGGCCTGTCCTGAAAGATTCGGTCCCGAAGTCAAAGGTGACGTTCCTAGTATTTAAGGGAGTGCCGTGGGGCAGCCAGGTCCCGGACCCGCTTGGGGGCACACAGGGTGAGTGACACTGACCGGGGCCATGTGAGTGAGTCTCTGGCTGGCAGCAGGCTCCCACGTGGCCACCGCATGGCACACCCCAACCTCGTCAACGCCACTAGCCCAGCCCCTCTGTTTGAGGACTCGGCTGACACCATGTGCTCCCCTTGCGCATCCCGAGAGGCCAGAGGTGTTGGGACTGCTGGGAGAGCTCGGCCCAGGACCCAGAAGTAGAAGTGGTAACAGACATCCGCTGTCTTTGCTGCACAGTAGATTCCTTCTAAACTCGGCGGCCTAAACAGCAGGCATTTGTCATCTCTGAGGGTCAGGGTGTCAGCTGGCTTAGCTTCCGTCCCATGAGGCTGCCAGCCGTGGCTGCGGTCACCTGAGGATGACGGGGCCTGGGGCCCCGTTTCCAGGAGGCCCACACTATACTGTCCGCAGGGCCTCTCAGGACACGGCCGCCAATCCCCGCCCTCCGTCGGGGTGGGATCTGAGGGAGCAGGGGTGAGCCACAGCTCCTTTACGCTCAGCCTCGGGCCATCTTCTTCCTTCAGTGGCCTCTTCAGGAAAGAGGCTAGTGCGAGTGGCCGTGTAGACCCAAGTGCAGTAGGAGGGGAAGAAGAGGGGGCTGTGCCCCTGAGGGCTCAGGGCTCACTTCCTGGACGAGGACTTAGAAAGGGGTTCGGAGGCCAAGTGGGGCTCGTAGAGAGCAGGGGTGCACTGCGCGCCAGAGCCGTGAAGGGCCAGGGTGGGGTGGGACGGAATCTGGGGGCCAACCTGCCAGGGTGAAGGCTGCCCCTGGGCCAGGGTCTGGAGGCTAAGCATGAAAGGCGAGGCCTGGGATGGCGCAGTGGAGAGCCACTGCTGGTTCGGAGTGAGGCAGAGCCGTGGTGATGGTGAGGTGAGCACATGCCCATCCTATCCCTGGGCAAGGCCTTCTCTGCCCAGGAAGTATTGGCCTAACAGAGCCCTGGCCCCCCTCCCTCTCCTCCGCTCCACCACCTCGTCTGCTCTTCTCTGCAGCCCAGCCTTCACCTTCCCCCATCCCATCAACCCCGTGGCCTACCAGCAGATCCTGAGCCAGCAGAGGGGCCTGGGCTCGGCCTTCGGACACACACCGCCCCTGATCCAGCCCTCCCCCACCTTCCTGGCCCAGCAGCCCATGGCCCTCACCTCCATCAGCACCACGCCCACCCAGCTCAGCAGCAGCAGCAACTGTCTGAACGACGCCAGCCAGGTAGGCGGGTGCAGGGCACGGAGCGGGCCCACTGATGCTCCGACTCCATGAGGGCTGGCGGTCCCCATCTCACACTGGCAACGTGCGGGAGGACTCGGGGTGCGGGTGTGGCTCGGGGTGCCTTCTGTGGAGAGGCCACATGACTGAAAGGCCTGGGCTGCATGAGGCTGGGTGGGAGGCCTGGGAGGGGTCCTGACACCGCTCCCACTCCTGTGGGCAGCGCCCAGCCTCAGTTCTGATGTCGCCTGCGCAGTAGACAGGTAAGTAGACGGGGAAGCCTAGAATTCACAGTCAGCACAGTGTAGGTGCTCCGGGCCCAGAATATGAAATGGATTAATGAATAGTAATATCGTGCAGTTTAGTTTTGGAGCATGGATTCACCAAAGACCATCTTTTTAAAAAATTCTTTAATTTTATGTTTTAATTACAGTTTACATTCAGTATTATTTTGTATTAATTTTGGGTATACGGCATAGTGGTTAGGTAATCATATACTTTATAAAGTGATCCCCGATGTTTCCAGCACCCGCCTGGCGCCATACATAGTTATTACAATGTCATTGACTGTATTCCCTGTGCTGTGCGGTACATCCCCGTGAACCCCTGCTTCTCAGTCCCTCCCCCTTCCACCCAGTCCTCCGAGCCCCCTTCCCAGAGAGAGGCCTCTGTTCCGCCGCCGTGGGCGTGGCTCGAGCTGCTGGCAGGCCGTCCGGGCTCTCTCCTGGCTGTGCCCCTGTCTGGGGACTAAGCTGGAAGGACTCAGTTTCTCCCACTCCAAACACAAGGGTTGGCCCAGATAGGCTGTGTGGGGAGGGTCCAGAGGTTTGGGGTGTCCCCCCTGCCCCCAGTGACAGGCTCTCCTCTGCACCCCTTCAGAGCAAGCAGAACAGCGAGTCGGCTGTGAGCAGCACCGTGAACCCCATCGTCATCCATAAGCGCAGCAAGGTCAAGACGGAGGCCGAGGGCCTGCGACCAGCCTCCCCGGTGACCCTGACGCAGGTAACCTGCCCGCCACCCTCACGTCTCCAGGCTGGGCCAGGACTCGTCCGCGGGGTCAGCAGCCTTGGGCCTGAGCCCCTGCTGGTGAAGGATGAGCAGGTGGCTGCCTGCATGAACCAATGAGCAAATGACTGAGCCAGGGTGGGCGGGGCGGACAGTCCTGAGCTCAGGGAGGACCAGAGCTGTGTCCCCAGCACCCTGCACCTTACAGGCTCGTCAGACACACCCTGAATTGCCGGGCGGGAGTGGCTAGGTTGGTTGAGTGTCATCCCATGCACCGAAAGGTTACTGGTTCGATTCCCCGTCAGGGTACATACCTGGGTTTCAGGTTCAGTCCCCGGTTGGGGCTAATATGGGAGGCAACCAGTGTTTCTCTCCCTTCTTCTCTCTCCCTTCCTCTCTCTAACATGTCATCAGAATAAGTGAATGGATGATATGGGGCTGCAGCTGTCTCGCCCCCACCACTCCCCTCACCCTCATGCAGCACAAGCCCGAGGTGCTCATGTCCCCTGATGGCTCAGGCTCCTGTCCAGCGGCTCCCTCCCCCTGGAGCCCTGCCCCCTTCACTGCCACTTCAGCCTTTCCTGACCCTCCTGCAGAGCTAGGTGCCCAGCCTAGCCCCGGGTCACTCTGCTGCCTCCTGCACTGCACCGGGTGCTGTGGGAGGTGGCCCTCTCAGGGAAGGGTCTGGTTTGGTTCCTGGCCATCAGGGTTTACACCGGGCCTGGTGCACGGTAACTGTGAAATCTAGTTTCCAAGGACTCCATGCACATGTGAGGGAATGAGTGTGTGGTGACGGGGAAGGACAGGGAAGGTGAGGGACGGAGCGACCCACAGCCAGGGTGGTCCTGCGGGGCTGAGACCCTGTGCAGGTCCCTCGGGAGACCCTGCCTCCTGGTCCAGCATCCGAGAGGACAGGCAGACAGTCCAGCTCTTGCAGCAGAGGCTGTGGGGGAAGGGCTCGGGGTGAGTGCTGACCGCGCAGACGGGCCTCCCACCCCGTCTCTCACGGTGGCCTGGCCTCCATCCGTTACTACCCTGTCACAGCGCTGACACCAGCGGTGCTCAGGCCCGCTGTCCCTGCCTCCCTGCCTCTGTCACGCCATCCTTTATCAGACTGTGAGCCATTGGGCATGCTCCGGGCACTTAATTTTTATGAAATATTGGGTTCTGTTATTGTCAGGCAGACAGAGGGGCTGGTGACAAATGCTTCTCCCCTCGCTGACGCCGAAGCCTCTTAGTGTGATGCGTGGCTTCCACGGGGCGGCCCTCATCGGGCGGTGGGAATGGATGAGGGAGGCACACGTCCTGGGGAGAGCAGCACGGGGAGCAGCACGGGGAGCAGCGAGGGCGGGTGGAGGCCACACTGAGCACAGGGAGCTCCCCCGCCCCGTCCCCTCCAGCTCAGGGCCCCGTAAGCCCTCTTGCCTTCCCAGCTGGGCTCCTCATTTGTGAAGGAGGAGAGCCATTTATCATGAGGAGGTTGTCACCGTGTCACTCTGTCCTGATTCAGTGACCCGGCTCCTGCAAGGTGGGTGGGCATGCTCTCCCTTGGCACAAAACGCAGCCCAGCCTCCCTCCCTGCCTCAGCCTCAAACTTGTGGGCTAGGAAGACACCCAGCGTGCCCTGGGGGCCGGGTGCACCGCCGCCCCGCCATCCCCGTCCACACGCCTGTCCCCGCAGCCTCTTCTCTGAATCAACAGAGCATGCAGTCCGGGTCCAGGTCTCCTGCGAGGGTGAGGGCGGAGCGGGCACCAGGAGGCCCCGTGGCCCCCCTTTCTAAGGAGTCAGGCAGGGGCATTCTGCAGGAGCTGCCGGCGGGCTTCTTGCACTACACCTCGTTTTCCTTTTCAGAGCGCATGCATTGAACACGTGCGTTGATTGGAAGGTGCATTCACAAACAACCGAGGGCGGCCAGGAGGGCCGGTCCCCGGCCGCAGGGGCCGGGGTGCTGATGTCACCCCTAGCCACAGAGCAGTGTGAGGAGTGAGACTGAGTGTCTGGAGTCTTGGGGGGCTCTTGACTGTGGGGAGAGGTCTCCCCGTCAGCCTGAGCTATAATGTTTGCCCCAGAGGCTGTTTTGAAAGACAGGACATCTGTGCCAGTGGTAGGTAGTCTGAATGGGAAGCAGGTCATCCTAACGCCGCTCTGCCTGGCGTTGCTCGAAGCCTGCCCGGCAGGCAGGCCAGTGGAACATCGGGAGGCAGCGGAGCCGGGAGCCCTTGACGTCCTCTGCAGCTCTTCCTGGGCCTTCCTCCCGCCCGGGGCTCAAGTGCCTCCCTTCCACCAGCTCCCGTTCCCTCCCAGGCAGTGGCGCTGATTTATGCTCAGTCTATTGCTGGTTTTGGAGTAAAACGTGTTGTACCCTTTGAATTGAAGCACCTGTGACTGGGTGGAGGCCTGTCACCTTGAAATGGGCACGTGTGGGCTCCATGCAGGGGAAGGGTGGGCTGGAGTCCAAGTCCAGGCCTCCACACTCGCTGTGTGTCTGGGAGGGCGAGGAGCCCTCCGAGCCTCCTTTCTGACTGCAGCGCGGGAAGAAAGCCCCCATTGCAGGCTGTTCCATGGATCCACTGCTGGGAGGACATGCGAGCATGTTCACCCAGCCGAGCGCTGCCCTGGGTTCGAATCCAGGTGTGCTGGGTGCCTGGGAGGAGAGGACAGTAGGAAAGTGAGAGGCCTGGAGGGCCAGGCCAGATGCCTGTTGGGTTTCTCTTGCCTCTGTGGAGAGCAGATCCTGTGACTAAAATGCCCCACCCCAGGGCCTGTGAGCCCACCAGGCTCCTCGCAGGGGAAACCAAGCCAAACAGCAAAGCCACTGCCTGCTGGCTCCTGCTCTCCTCGCCATGTCAGTTGACTCACGATGTGGCGAGATGCCTTGGTGATGACAAGTTGGCATAGAGAGGAGGGAGGGGCCCAGGACGGCTGTGTGACGGGAGAGTCATGGGCAGGAGCCCGCTGAGGAGGGGCTGGGAAAGCCGGTGTGTGTGCGCGTGCCTGTGTGTGCACCTGCACAGCCCGGGGCCTTGGCACAGGCTGTGCAGAGCTGACGGCAGCCTCTGGGCAGGGCTGGCTGCTGGACGAGGCTCAGGGGTATGATCTGCTCCTCCCCAGGAGCAGCTGGCTGACCTCAAGGAAGACCTGGACAGGGACGACTGCAAGCAGGAGGCGGAGGTGGTCATCTACGAGACCAACTGCCACTGGGAGGACTGCACCAAGGAGTATGACACGCAGGAGCAGCTGGTGCATGTAAGCCTCCCGGCCCCGTCACCCAGCGGGGCCATGGCCTGGGCCCAGGGAGCCTGCAGCCTGCCAGGCCCCAGACAGAGGAGGGGATGGAGGAGGAGGCTCCCAGGGGTGCCGTGTCCTCGCAAGTGGGCAGCATGATTCCTTATCCAGGCCTGTGTCTAAGAGGGGGCTTACAAGTACATATGCAGTACAAGAGATTAGAAGAAAAACAAGGAAACAGGACAATTCAGGGGAAATGAGCAATAAAAGGGAGTCAGGAGTCCAGTTAGTATGCAAAGCCAAGTCCTCTGAGCTGTAGCTCATTGGTAAACCCTTTTCCTGAGGGTCCTGGCAACCAATGCAGAGGGGGCAGTGAGGTCCGCTAAGCCGGCCGGCATGGCAGAGTAAGAGCGATCCTGCCCCGAAACCTGAAGGAAGTTCCTCCGGTGGAGGACAGAGTTGGCCATTTCTGCTTGGAGGCAGTGCTTAGCGACCCGCACAGGTGCAGGTGGCTGTCTCCGCCCGATCAGGGGCTGCGTGAACATGCCTGGTACTGGCAGAGCAGCAGGCCAGAGAAGACCTCCTGATCTGGGTGCCCGTCAGGGTGCGCCCTTGTCTTGGTCCCACCGTAAGCTCTTCGATGGCGGCACCTGCTGTGGCGGCCGCGGGGCAGTTTGTGCAGTGGGAGGAGCAGGCGTGGGGCTCAGCGTGGAGGTACCAGGCTTCAAACCACAGGCAGCGAGTCTAAACAGGTGAGAACAGGCCACTCAGCCTCTGTGAGCCGCAGAGTTCCTCCTGTGTGGGGTGAGTCCTACTGCACAGGGGTGTGGAGATGGAATATGACCCCAGCGTAACCACTTAGCAGAGAGCGCAGCCCATGCCTGGTCGCCCCTCTGCCTCCTTCTCCCTGTCCTCATGCCAGCCCCGAGCGCCTCTCTTCTCCACCCGGAAGAGAACTTAAATTCAAGAACAAGCCCCCACACCCCATCCCAGCACACGCTCCTGGTGAATGAGTGTCTGTAAAGATGAGCCCCACACTAAACTAGCAGCGTGATTGTCAGGGGGGCGCACACGCACACGCACATGCACACGCGTGCCCGCACCCAGGAGCCACCCCGAGTGAGCGTCCTTCTCCCCAGCGCTGGGAGCTCAGGTTGAGAGCACCGTCCACCCCCTCCGCTTCCTCCATCTGTGCCACAGTTGCTCTCCAGTGCTGTGGGCTTCTCTTGTGTTTGGGTTTTTCTTCCCACATTCTCATTCAGGAGACAGATGTCCTAGCTAGCAGACCATCACCCAGCTGGCGTAGAACCTGTAAGGCAGGGTCTTATCTATACTCTCTGCGTCAAGGAGTCCAAGGTGGAGAAGGGACATGGGAGCTGAGTTATGGGACAGATCAGATTCGATTAGAGGAAGAAGGGGCGGCGCCTGGGCCTGGCAGGGGCCGGGCAGAGTGAGACCAGGATGACAAGATGAGCTCAGTAATGAGTGAGTTGGCCCCAAGGAGCAGGGAGGGATTCCTCAAAGGAAGGCAGAGGGGTCCAGACGGGAAGGAGGGCTCCCGCTGCAGGCTCCCGCCTGTGCCTGGGCTGTCCCTGCGGCTGCAGGTGATCGCCTCCGCCTGCCCCAGAAGAGCCAGCCCCTGGGAGGGGGAGCCGGCACCTCACCAGCTCTGTCTGCTTCCCGGGAAGATGGATGGCGGCAGGCGCACAGGCGGGCTGGAGCCCTCAGTCAATGATGAACAATTTGTTGCTAAGTAAACCAATAAGAAAAACTGAGAGGCATTGTCAGGGCACATTCCCATCATTTGAAAGCCTTTAAAAATGGAAAGTGAGGCTAATAGAGAAGGTTCCCCTGGAAGTTCAAGGTGCTGTAGATTTTACTTGCAGCAACGCTGGCGTTTGCGTGCCCGCCAGTGGGGCCTGTCACTCAGGCACGAGGCCTCGATGTCCAGCTCGGACAGCCTTGCGGGGTTCAAAGGTCCACAGCAGCATCGCCAGGAGAAGACCCTGCAGGCCACGCACGCCACCCGCATCACTTTATATTATGTAGGAGCAAACGCGTAAGAGACAGTGAAAGGAAACAGGTGACATTCGTTTCAATGATACATTTTATTTAACCCAGTATATCTAAGAGGTTATCATTTCAACATGTAATCAATATAAAACAAAATATTGGAACATTTGACATCCCTTATTTTTTCACTCTGTGTTTGAAACAGGTGTGTTACACTTACAGCCCCTCCCAGCTGGGAGCAGCCACATTTCAGGGGCTCAGAGCACAAGTGGGGAGTGACTGGCGCACTGGACAGTGTGGGTCTAGACGCAGCCGTGGGCAAACTACGGCCCTCGGGCCGGATCCAGCCCGTTTGAAATGAATAAAACTAAAAAAAAAAAGACCGTACCCTTTTATGTAATGATGTTTACTTTGAATTTATATTAGTTCACACAAACACTCCATCCATGCTTTTGTTCCGGCCCTCCGGTCCAGTTTAAGAACCCATTATAGCCCTTGAGTCAAAAAGTTTGCCCACCCCTGGTCTAGAGGCTGAGGGGGGTATGAAAGCGAGCGGGAGCTGAGAACGAGAGAAGAGAGGGGCTGGAGAGGAGGGACTGCAGGACCTGATGTTCCACACACCCCCCCCCCTTCCCCTGGGAGGTAGGCCCAGCCTGACCGGCATACAGCAGGACAGGCCTGGAGCCGAGGGCGAGGAAGAGGAGGATGGGACCTGTGCTCCCTGCCTATAGGGAGAAGCCCCAGTGGGAGGGAGCAAGGAGCAGTGTCCTCTGCACCATTGAGTGAGCCTCCAACACCACCTCTTTCCACCCCAGATAGATACACAGACCAAATGGGGACATAAAAGTCCCGGGGGCACCACCCACATGTCCACACGGCCCAGCTCAGGGGCACTGAGTGACACACCTGCTTCAGGGAGGACTGAGCTCAGAGACAGTGAGTGATACACCCCCTTCAGGGAGGACTGAGCTCGGGGGTAGTGAGTGACACACCCCCTTCAGGGAGGACTGAGCTCAGGGGTAGTGAGTGATACACCCGCTTCAGGGAGGACTGAGCTCAGGGGCAGTGAGTGATACACCTGCTTCAGGGAGGACTGAGCTCGGGGGTAGTGAGTGACACACCCCCTTCAGGGAGGACTGAGCTCAGGGGTAGTGAGTGATACACCCGCTTCAGGGAGGACTGAGCTCAGGGGCAGTGAGTGATACACCTGCTTCAGGGAGGACTGAGCTCGGGGGTAGTGAGTGACACACCCCCTTCAGGGAGGACTGAGCTCAGGGGTAGTGAGTGATACACCCGCTTCAGGGAGGACTGAGCTCAGGGGCAGTGAGTGATACACCTGCTTCAGGGAGGACTGAGCTCGGGGGTAGTGAGTGACACACCCCCTTCAGGGAGGACTGAGCTCAGGGGTAGTGAGTGATACACCCGCTTCAGGGAGGACTGAGCTCAGGGGCAGTGAGTGATACACCTGCTTCAGGGAGGACTGAGCTCGGGGGTAGTGAGTGACACACCCCCTTCAGGGAGGACTGAGCTCAGGGGTAGTGAGTGATACACCCGCTTCAGGGAGGACTGAGCTCAGGGGCAGTGAGTGATACACCTGCTTCAGGGAGGACTGAGCTCGGGGGTAGTGAGTGACACACCCCCTTCAGGGAGGACTGAGCTCAGGGGTAGTGAGTGATACACCCGCTTCAGGGAGGACTGAGCTCAGGGGCAGTGAGTGATACACCTGCTTCAGGGAGGACTGAGCTCAGGGGCAGTGAGTGACACGCCTGCTTCAGGGAGGACTAAGCTCGGGGGTAGTGAGTGATACACCCACTTCAGGGAGGACTGAGCTCAGGGGCAGTGAGTGATACACCTGCTTCAGGGAGGACTGAGCTCGGGGGTAGTGAGTGACACACCTGCTTCAGGGAGAACTGAGCTCAGGGCAGTGAGTGATACGCCTGCTTCAGGGAGGACTGAGCTCGGGGGTAGTGAGTGACACACCTGCTTCAGGGAGAACTGAGCTCAGGGCAGTGAGTGATACGCCTGCTTCAGGGAGGACTGAGCTCGGGGGTAGTGAGTGACACACCTGCTTCAGGGAGAACTGAGCTCAGGGCAGTGAGTGATACGCCTGCTTCAGGGAGGACTGAGCTCGGGGGTAGTGAGTGACACACCTGCTTCAGGGAGAACTGAGCTCAGGGCAGTGAGTGATACGCCTGCTTCAGGGAGGACTGAGCTCGGGGGTAGTGAGTGACACACCTGCTTCAGGGAGAACTGAGCTCAGGGCAGTGAGTGATACGCCTGCTTCAGGGAGGACTGAGCTCGGGGGTAGTGAGTGACACACCTGCTTCAGGGAGAACTGAGCTCAGGGCAGTGAGTGATACGCCTGCTTCAGGGAGGACTGAGCTCGGGGGTAGTGAGTGACACACCTGCTTCAGGGAGAACTGAGCTCAGGGCAGTGAGTGATACGCCTGCTTCAGGGAGGACTGAGCTCGGGGGTAGTGAGTGACACACCTGCTTCAGGGAGAACTGAGCTCAGGGCAGTGAGTGATACGCCTGCTTCAGGGAGGACTGAGCTCGGGGGTAGTGAGTGACACACCTGCTTCAGGGAGAACTGAGCTCAGGGCAGTGAGTGATACGCCTGCTTCAGGGAGGACTGAGCTCGGGGGTAGTGAGTGACACACCTGCTTCAGGGAGAACTGAGCTCAGGGCAGTGAGTGATACGCCTGCTTCAGGGAGGACTGAGCTCGGGGGTAGTGAGTGACACACCTGCTTCAGGGAGAACTGAGCTCAGGGCAGTGAGTGATACGCCTGCTTCAGGGAGGACTGAGCTCGGGGGTAGTGAGTGACACACCTGCTTCAGGGAGAACTGAGCTCAGGGCAGTGAGTGATACGCCTGCTTCAGGGAGGACTGAGCTCGGGGGTAGTGAGTGACACACCTGCTTCAGGGAGAACTGAGCTCAGGGCAGTGAGTGATACGCCTGCTTCAGGGAGGACTGAGCTCGGGGGTAGTGAGTGACACACCTGCTTCAGGGAGAACTGAGCTCAGGGCAGTGAGTGATACGCCTGCTTCAGGGAGGACTGAGCTCGGGGGTAGTGAGTGACACACCTGCTTCAGGGAGAACTGAGCTCAGGGCAGTGAGTGATACGCCTGCTTCAGGGAGGACTGAGCTCGGGGGTAGTGAGTGACACACCTGCTTCAGGGAGAACTGAGCTCAGGGCAGTGAGTGATACGCCTGCTTCAGGGAGGACTGAGCTCGGGGGTAGTGAGTGACACACCTGCTTCAGGGAGAACTGAGCTCAGGGCAGTGAGTGATACGCCTGCTTCAGGGAGGACTGAGCTCGGGGGTAGTGAGTGACACACCTGCTTCAGGGAGAACTGAGCTCAGGGCAGTGAGTGATACGCCTGCTTCAGGGAGGACTGAGCTCGGGGGTAGTGAGTGACACACCCCCTTCAGGGAGGACTGAGCTCAGGGGCAGTGAGTGACACGCCTGGTTCAGGGAGGACTGAGCTCAGGGGCACTGAGTGACACACCCCCTTCAGGGAGGACTGAGCTCAGAGGCAGTGAGTGATACACCTGCTTCAGGGAGGCCTGAGCTCAGAGGCAGTGAGTGATACACCTGCTTCAGGGAGGCCTGAGCTCAGAGGCAGTGAGTGATACACCTGCTTCAGGGAGGCCTGAGCTCAGGGGCAGTGAGTGATACGCCTGCTTCAGGGAGGACTGAACTCAGGGGCAGTGAGTGATACACCTGCTTCAGGAAGGATTGAGCTCAGGGGAGTGAGTGATACACCTGCTTCAGGGAGGACTAAGCTCGGGGGCAGTGAGTGACACGCCTGCTTCAGGGAGGACTGAGCTCGGGGGTAGTGAGTGATACGCCTGCTTCAGGGAGGACTGAGCTCAGAGGCAGTGAGTGATACACCTGTTCAGGGAGGACTGAGCTCAGGGCAGTGAGTGATACGCCTGCTTCAGGGAGGACTGAGCTCAGGGCAGTGAGTGATACGCCTGCTTCAGGGAGGACTGAGCTCAGGGGCAGTGAGTGATACGCCTGCTTCAGGGAGGACTGAGCTCAGAGGCAGTGAGTGATACGCCTGCTTCAGGGAGGACTGAGCTCGGGGGCAGTGAGTGACACACCTGCTTCAGGGAGGACTGCAGCCACGGCTAGATAATCAAAGCAGGTGACTGAAACCCCAGGGTCTGCCCAGGCCTGCGTGCTGTTCCCTGAGACAGGAAGCCTCTGGGCCCGTGGCTCCACGTACAGGAGAAACCACTCTGGGCGCCATGCAGATGGTGAGGCCAGGGCAGAGGCCAGGTGTGGGCGCAGGGCCAGGGAGGCAGGAAAGTTAGCCCTGTTCCTGCCCAGGCCAGTGCTGGCCAAGACAGTCTGAGGACCACTCACCCAGGGTGGCTGCTTGCCTCGCTCTGCCCCATTTGCCCCAGTGGGCCGCGAGCTGACGAGCAGGGTCCCAGTGCCATGCTGCCCACCAGTCGCATGTCGCTGGCAGCTCTGCTCCCTCCCTGGGCTGTGCTGTGCCAGGGGCAGTGCCACACGGTCCCAGGGTCCTCCGCGGGGGTCAGTCCCTGCAGCCACTAACAAGCTGGGCCTCTGTGCAAAGGGACAAAGCCGCCATCTTACGGGTTATCAGGACGCAGATGGAGACCAGGACGCAATGACGTTTCCATTAGAACAGAAACTTAATGTAAACACCTGGAACAACAGGGGCAAGCTCGGGAGAGGTTTCTCAGGCACCCTGTCTGCCTCGCTGCAGTTAATTAGTGCCTACTGTGTGCAGCACAGCCGGGAGCATCGTCATGGCCACGAGTCCTCCATGGACTGGAGCCCGGAGCCCCGTCTGGGATGAGCGGGGCGCCTTTGACCATCTGGGATGGTCGCTTTGATGACTAAATGGGAAATGCAGCCGAGACATTAGCACACAGTATGTCTTCACTTAGTGGCCACTAACCACAGGAGGAAGCACGGCCGGAGGGTGACCCGACAGAGTGGGCAGTGGTCTGTGGGGGTGGCCTGCGCTCACCAGGGGGTCCGAGGCTCTGGCCGGGCTCACCCCCTTCGGGGCTTGTTCCGGCAGCACATCAACAACGAGCACATCCACGGGGAGAAGAAGGAGTTCGTGTGCCGCTGGCAGGCCTGCACGCGGGAGCAGAAGCCCTTCAAGGCGCAGTACATGCTGGTGGTGCACATGCGCCGGCACACGGGCGAGAAGCCGCACAAGTGCACGGTGAGTGCCC